TTCTGCCTACACTAGAGACTAGTGGGTGAGTGTGCAGTCCTGCACATTAGAACTGTTCTCTACAGTGAATGCACATCAGGAACTGGTGTGTTACTTATATTTCTAAACTTTAATTCCATTCCTGGCTGGTTGTTCATGTTTATTACGATCACAGTTTTGGCAGTGTGAGTCATTTGCAATGCAAAAGGCTCCAGTTCCTCCAGGAAGCAATGCCCTGAACAGACACACATCATCATGGACTAGCAGTTTTCATCTCTGCCTGCCCTTCCCTGCCCATTTGTGACACACCAGTGGTCACAACAGGCTCTCTCCAGGAAGGAGGGTGACAGGCTCTATGTGCCCTATTGCTTGGTGATTTGTGGGGCAATTAATTATATATTATAAACCAGAGATATGGTGGTTTAGGAGAACAGACACAGAGAATTAACCAAAGAGGAGAACTGATAGCAGTGAAACTGCACTTAATAATTAAGTCATTAAGCACAATAAAAAGTTGACTGTTAGTCCAGACAGACTCACACAGCCACAGGAATTGTGATGTCCTGCAAGGAACTACAGAGAAAACTTCCTTTGCAGAAATAACTCAATAACTTTCCAGAGGCTGTAAAATCAAACTGTTGTGTGTCAAAATTCAGATATGACAATCAAGAACACTGAACAATTATTATGGAATAAAAAAATATGCTATGTTTAGTAACAGTAGGTGCTCTATTGTCAATACTTTTTTATGGCAGGAAAAAGAAATACCAAAAATAAAGGGCCTTATCTATCTATTTAAAAGTGCTTGTAATCAAGAGGCAATCACGCTGTCAGAAGAAAAGGTAGGGAAAATTATTTTACAGCTCTTTATGTGCACTAGCTCAATACTTTTTTCCTGCACATTTTTTCAATCCTTTTTCTTACTAGATTCATCTATATTTTGTTATTTCATGTAAATTTGCTTCCTCCACTATATATGACATATATAAGTAGAAACATATATTTTAATTAGCTAAAAGTTATAAAAAAAGCTTCAGAAGTCTATATCAAAGCTTTAGCTATGGATACAGATTCACATATAATCAGGGGAAGCAGATGCTCTTTAACTCCTTTTCAGGTGGTTCCCAAGAGTTTGAGGGCACCCACTAGGGATGCATTCAGTGGTCTCAGAGGCACTGACATGCAAATCTGGAGTGGGCAGGGCTGTTAAATCATGTGCTTCTCTACAACCCCAAAGACCTTTTACTTAGTCCCATGGAAATGTTGTGACCTGTGGTTTTACACTGCCAATTTCCTAACAGATACCAACCTCACACAGAAAGTAGAATACCATGAGACAGTCATGGTAAGTGGTCTCTCACCGTGGGGTGACGTGCTCTCTGTGGGTGCGTGTCTCTTTTCATGGCTACTGTGAGAGCCAGATCATGTGTTCAAACTGGTCACCTAAATTTTCATAGAACAGATGAATCCCACCTTAGTCCCATCTGATTTCTGTCACAGTTGTACTGCTCTGGAGCAACACTGAAAAAATTGCCCCAAATGAACCTACCTGCCATTGCTCCAGATGCTGTTCCAAGCCATGCCTCTTCTCAGCAGCCTGAGTGTTCCTCTGGATTCAAGGTGCCCTCCTTCTTCCTTTGAGGGACACTCAGCTGGGCATTCTCCACTGTCCCTGGTGGTTTTTACTGGGGCAGGACTGATCTCATGGTGGCCAGGTCCAGTCCTTTGCCCTTGCAAACAGCTCTGCTGCACCCACCTCTCCTGAGGTTTTCCTCCCCTCCAACATGCACTCACACACATAAACAAACAACTTTACTAGTTCCAGCAAAAATTAAACTGAGGAAAAATTAAAATTAGACTGAGTTGCTTGGTACCACCAAGGTAAATGTATCAGAACACAACTTGTACTTCAGCTGAGCAGAATTTTGTTTGGCACAACTAACAGAACATACACATTTCTTCTTTGCTTTTCAATTTAGTTATTCTATCAGGAAGCACCATCAGAAGAACAAAAGCAATTTCTTATTTTCTGGATTGGATGTATAATAATAAATAAGACCGCCTAAAAATTGCATATGTTTCCCTTTACAGGCAAAGCTAAGTACAATAAAAAAGCAGGGACATAGTAATATTCATTGTTTTATTGTATCCTTTTATGATACTGACTAGAACGCCAGATTTAATAATATTGGATGCAGGTATAAAAATAATCCAATCCTTAAAAATTATATTTTGCTACTACAGTACTGTATAATTAGTGGAGGCTGAAAATATGATACAACTTTAAATAATACTGGTTTGGAAAACATCTTTAGAACCCCAGAGACTTGGAAGCAAACATTCAGAGACAGAGGGAAGGGAGTGGAGCAATGTCAAGAACATAAAGCAGGTTTACATTCAGGTTGTAAAGAAGCACAAACAAATGCTGAAAATTTATCTTTTGGAAGAGAGTTCACAAAAGGTGAGCTTTACTACTGAGATTCTAAAAGCTGCTTCAATAAATCATTATGATTTTACACACCAAGTTTCACCTTTGACTAGGAGAAAGTCCTGTAGAATTTAATGGGTTTAAAGCAAATGACTGAGTTTAACAGGATTTCCTGTAAAAATGAAGGTAGTAAATATTTATCCTGTTGAGCTTCTTTTTTTTTTTCTTTAAAGTAAATCCATCCTCGCAGATTTTATTGAAGACTTTTAATGTCCAGCAAATTCTATAGCCATATTCAAGAGAAGTGATCAGTGTTCACTGTATCCCACAGGACTTTTCCATATAGGATTTTGCTGAACTGGGGGCTGCCTGCTGCAGCATTAACCCAAGCAGGGACTCCCATCTCTTCTAGCATTTCATTGAAATAGAGACTGAGCAATTTAGCATTTCAATACCACTTTGGAGGAACATCAGGTACCCTTGCTAGGTGTTCCCTCAACAAGGATATTATGCAACACAGACTAGACACAGAAAAGGTGTCATCCCACACTTGATCTCACAGTACTAAAGTCACACTTCTGCAAATTAATTAAGCATATTCTTTTTTTTTTTTTTTTTAATTTTGGTACTTCTTACTCCTTTGTGAATTTCTCCCCTGCTTTTCAATTTCAGCAGCTCAAGAGAATGAAGAATTAAATGTACATTGAACAGGTCCCAGACTCTTATAAGCATAGGACATACCCCTTGTGAAACTAGGAGATCTTGCTTAATTTCTAAAGGGACAGGCAAGAGTGATCTGCAGAGCAGCTGATATGTGTGACAGCAGGAAGCATCTCTACATCCCTAGATATTACAGGATAGGAAAGAGGCTGGCTGACCAGTAAAACAACTACACAAAATTCACATTCACTCTCTTCCCAGGAAACTGTTTCCAGTCTTGAAGCTGTTTTGTTCATTCTCACATAACACAGGTTCTGCTACAGTAATAATTATGCTTTAAAAAAAAGAACAGATAAAACATGGAGAGGCAGGAACAGTATCACAGAAACAGGCAGACAGAGCCATGGGAAAGCATGTACTACATGCAGGTGACCCTGGTGGTGGAGTAATTCAGGCCTAAAAAAAATTTCTTTACAGTCCATGGGAGAGTTACCCCAGTCACTGTGGGGATGCTGGATTACATCCTTTGTGTGTAAAGAGGAAAAAACATTAGTCAGCATAGGAAGAGCATTTAACTAAAATGCATCCGTTCTTGTTAATTTAAGGAAGAAAGCTAAAGATTACTATTAGGGAATGAAAATTCCAGCTGGGTTTGGAATGGATATGGCCATTGACCAGCATCAGAGACAAGTCCTGGGAAAGCAACTTAGCATATCTGCAGCAATGTCCAAACCCACTCTGTGCTCACTCAGGTCCCAGCAAACAACCTGTACAAGCACTGGCACAAACAATTTCACAATGATAAATACCTCTCTCTAACTGCAATTTATTGCAATTTTTAAATAGCAATAAAGAGTGTGGAGGCAGATAACTTTCATAAAGCAGTTCATGAGCAGTAACTCAGTACATGACTGGGCCAGTAGGTCTTACAGGAAATGCCACAAGAGCAATGGGATTCATTGCTGCTATAAAACCTAACCCTTCCAGCGTGGGGTAAAACCAGGCCCACTTTATCCACTTATGGCTCAATTCAGTGCTGTGAGGTTTCAACAGTGTGAAAAAACTAAGCCTGATTTTCCCAGTGCAGCTGGAAGGACAGGGCAAGCAGCAGAACACAGGAAGACTGTATGTTCAAGATGCCTACTGAAAGATTCCTCAAATCTGTGTTTTGCTGATCAGTTCACTGGGACTGCCTCTCCTATGCTGAGTGTCAGGGGTATTTTTGGGGGTAAGGCATTTTGTCTGTATAACTGGCAGAGCACCACAGCAGCAAACACATGCCTCTCACAGTTTTTCCTGTCAAGCAACAGAATTAGCATTTTTTTTTCCCCAAATTTAATTAAAAACACACCCACACAACTGCCCATGGGTCATTGCTGACTCCTCCCCTCACTTTCCACAGCAGCCAGGAGCAATAGCAGATTTATGAGCAGCCTTAGTGTAACTTTTTTTCCTTTTCCCACATCTGGCTGAACCACTTGCATTCTCCATACCAAAGACATGCCACTTCCCTCCTATTCTCTCACACAGTGGAGAATGATTCCCCTTGGCAAAAACATCCAGTGTGCTCAAAATTTTCAGTTTGGGGTAGCTAGAAGTAATCTAAAAGAGAGATGAGAAATAAGCTGCATGATGAGAAATATCCTACAGGGAGTTAGGCTGTGAACAGAGAAGCATCTGATTTTGAAAGTGGGCCTGAGGGCACATAGAGACCCTTCTTATACCCAAGAGGAGTGACAAGCCCCACTCCACTGCCAAAGGGAGCTTTGTTCATGGCAGACACAGAGAGGGTCCTGGTGGCAGCTTTACACAGAGACAACCTGCACTGAAACACTGCCCCCACCCCTGCTGTGGCTGGGTGAGGCAGTGAACACTGCCGTGAAACAACCACCACAAACCGTGACACAGCACAATGCTCTGCAGCCACCCCTTGTGTCCCAGGGGAGCTGGGAGTGGGCGGTGCCTGGCTGGAGACAGGAGCACTGCAGCACAGGTTGCAGCTGGGCTGGTGGATCACCCCAGGCTGCCTCTGTCACCTTCCCAAAAGCTTCCTGGAACACTCAGGGAAAGCACCTGCACTCATCTGGGTGCTGACTCCTCCTGCCTGAACCCCTCTCTTGCCTGCTGGGCAGGGCCTCCTAAAACACCCAGAGAAGGTGTGGCAAGCCAAGAGAGACCCTTTTCCCCCTCCTTCTGTGGGCTATGCCTTGGCTCTGAGACTCCTTCCTTATCCAAGCTACACAGAAGGTCAGGCTGCAATGGATAAACCCTCATAAGAAATGTTCTAATGTTTACCTCCACTGTCAGAGAGAAAATTTCAGTGCAATAACACTCTTTCAGAAAATTCCAAGTTTTGCAGTCCTCACTCAGAAAATCCTGCTGGATTTACTGAGACTCTTTCTCTCCAGATACAATTCAGCAAGAATTTGAAGACCATTAAGGTATTAAAATTATTACTTGCAAACTTTTGTGTGCTCTCTTTAGAAATAGTCCTATCTCAATTCCACTCAAATCCCTTGCAATTTGCCATGTGCTGGGAGACACAGACCAGAAGTTTTGTTCATATACTCTTTGTGCAGAAGGACTGGAATTGTGAGTTGGTGTGCCATACTTTGCCCTTGTACCTGACACACAGAAGTTCATATCCCAGTCTTTGAACTAACCAAGCAGTTAAACATTTTTGCCTATAAGTATAGGCCTAAATGCTCCCCCATCTGAGGAAATGCTGGCACATGGGAAAATCATGGGGTTCTCAGCATTACTGGGACATCTTATCACAAGCTACTTTGCTGAAAAGGGACAAAGTCCAGTGCTTGTCTATAGGCTTTGGATTTAGATTTTGCATGAATTGCATCTTCTTTTCTTTTGTAACAAAAACACAGCTCTGCTCCATACCAGGTGAAAGGCAGTCCTTTCTGTCCTGGATGAAAACTCCGATGAGCATGGCAATGAACAGCTAATTCTTATGCTTTACCTGTTGTAATATTTTGGACACTGTAAGTAGAGCTTTCCTTAAATACAGTTCCTTAGGTAGCTGTACTTCCCATGAGCATCCATTCCTTTCCCCCTACAGCTGAGATCAGCTGTGCACTACCAGCTGCAAGGCTGATTGTGGATCAGACAGGTGTGAAGCTGCATGCATTGTCACCAAAAGTTCATGCAAGTGCAAAAGGTACTGCCCCAGGTGTCCATAAAGCTCTGGTTCTCTGCAAGCTCACACTGCTGCTTCTGCACAGAAGACAAGAGCTGAGGCATAAAAGAGACAGTGTGTTTGTGTGCTATGGCTGGTGCACTGAACTGTGCCTTCTCAGGCACATCTGGGGCACCTTTCCTGTCTTGAAGTTTTGAGAAAACAGAAACAACTGTGAGCAGGGACCAGAAACCTCTAAGCCAACACAGCTTATAACTGCCTGTTGTTGTCTCACTTCCCTCTGGATACCAGTTACTGACCTTTGGTAGGGAACACAACAGCCTCTGAAGTGCTGGGAAAGGATCTGGGAACTCACACCATCTGTAGGATGCAAGTACCCCCTTCCTGATAGAGAGCTCCTCATCACCCCAGGTTTGCCTCCAGTGAGCAGCCACACAACACATGAGCATCTGAATTAGGGTTAGACACTTTGGGGGATGCACCCCATGATCCTCAGTGCTTCAGTCAGCTGAGCTACCTAATGAACTTAGCTGTGGGCACTGTGTCTTTTAAAGCATGGTGGGGGAGAAGGGAATATCAGCTTATGTGCACACTACAGATGTGGTGAGTTAGTGGCAATGGAACTGTGCTATTTCTTATCCTTGTACAAGCAGCCACCTTGAATTAAAAGCACATTCACATTCAAGAGGAGAAACTGCATCTGGACCTTGTACCTAAACAGGCTTTGGATGACTCAGATTAACAGTGCAGTAAAGATAAGTGGTAAATATACTTCATGATATTTAATTATATTTCCCGCATGTGAGCCGGGGCAGTCCCCAGCACAAATGCAGGCTCTTGGAGAATAGAAACTAACCCTGAGGACTTGGGGTGTTGGTTGGTGAGAAGCTCAGAATGACCCAGCAATGTGCTCTCACAGCCCAGAAAGCCAATTGTGTCCTTGGCAGCACCAGATCCTCTCCCTCCACTCTGCTCCCCTGAGACCCCACCTGCAGTGCTGTGTTCAGTGCTCCCATCAGAACAGATGAGGCCAGAGGAGGCCACAAAGGTGGTCAGAGGCTGGAGCACCCCTCCTGTGAAGACAGTCTGAGAAAGTTGGGGCAGTTCAGCCTGGAGAAGAGTAGGCTCCAGGGAGACCTTAGAGCACCTTCCAGTAACTAAAGGAGGCCTACAAGAAAGCTGGAGAGGGACTTTTCACAAAGGCATGTAGGGATAGGACTAGGAAAATTATTTTAAAGCAAAGAAAGTAGGTTTAGATTAGTTACAAGAAAGAAATTCTTCACTATGAGAATGGTGAGGCACTGAAACAGGTTGCCCAGAGAAGTTGCCAATCCCTGCAAGTGTTCAAAGCCAGGTTGGATGGGGCTTTGAGAAACCTGGTCTAGTGGAAGGTGTCCCTGCTTATGGTAGAGGAGCTGGAAAAAAATTATCTGTAAGATCCCTTCCAACCCATTCCAGGTTCTGTGATTAGTAAGATCTCTTTCCACAACTCACTTTAGGTCAGAATACAGTCCATAATTTTCAGCCTGATCTTTGGTGAGAAATGCAATAACTTAAATTCTTCAGCTTCTGCTAATAAGAACGAATACACCCGGGTGAGGAAACTTGCCTGGTCTGAATCACTCGAAACTAGGATGGAAGAAAGAAAAACACTTCAACATAAGTGATCTTTGCTATGCCAGGATTGCAAGCATCATGTTTTTCTCTTCCTTAAATGCAACTGACTGCAGTAAGCCCTCTTTTCCAATGCACTGAAAGTCTCCACAGTGCCTACAAATTCAAGGTGGACTCTGGAGGTTTGAAAACATATCCCACCTTCAGTGCCCAGAATTCAGGTTCCTCTGCCCAGCCAAGGCTACAGCATTATTACTCCTTCACAGATTCCTAGTAAAAAATATTCTGAATTCACAGCTCATCTTCTTCTTCCCTGTGAGTAATTACTTAATATTGTATTGCTGTGTCTACAGGCATTTAAATCCTTGCAGGGAAACAGAGCCCCAAAGGATCCCACATGGAAGCACCCCGATGGCATGTGGTGGCATCACTTCTGAACAATATTGGTTGACAAAACAACAACATTCCCTATATACAGAAGATTTCAAAGCAGCACAGAGGAACAACTGTGCCTTTTTTCTGTTAAAATTGCAGTGGTGTGACTAACCTTCCCACACTCCTTGGAGACAATCAACCCACGAATTCAGCCAATATTGCCAGACACCTGGCTTTGGCAAGGACCCAGAAATCTGGAGAACTTTTACCTGTATGAAGGTGAACACAAGTCAGCTTCCCTATCATACACGAAACCGACAGCGAGGCAGTGATCTAAAAGGGAGTGGACAAACTTGCCTGACCAAAAGCAATTGCACAGTGAATCTCTGCATGAAGGCTGGCTAGGAAGACAAGCACAGTCAACAGTGAACGAGATCTGTAAACAAGACACTCCCTAGTGGTATTCAACACAGAGTGCTGGGCACAGTTCATCTGCCTGTACTGATCCATGCTTGCCCGTGTAGCGCCAAGAGTGAAGAATGAATAAGGAGTACACGTGTTAGCTTCCCACTGGGTCTTTTAGTGATGTGCTTCTTGAGCCATTCCCTCCTCTTCCTCCTCCTCCTCTCTGATGCTCAGCAACTGTGACCGTCCCTCAGGGCAGCAATGCTCAGCATGAAGTTCAAAGTCCTTCCTATTAAATGGGAAGAGTAAGATTGATGTGGCCTCAACTACCCAGGAGACAGATTGCACCTGGGAATTAAGGGCCACACGACTGTGTCAATCTTCCACTCCCTCTCCACTCTTTGCTAAAAGTAGTCTCTTCTTCTGGTTTCATCACTAATGAAGGACGGATTGTATTGTCCAGGGTAGATGCACGAATGTCGAGATCCAGGCAAACCAGTGTAGGGAGGAAAAAGTCCATTTCTTTCCAGTTCAGGATTTCTCAGTCCAGTTGGCTGTATTAGCAAAACAAAACAAAACAAAAATTAAATAAAAAGGGTCTTATTCTCACACTCAAATCCTTCTTCAGGCACAGCATTACCACATTTCTTTGCTGTTGGATCAGTAGGTAGAGGGAACAATGGGATCTCTAATGATCTCTATAATCTAGAACCATTTTTGCTGTATTGCCTGAAGGGATTACTATGATGAAATCTAATTTCAACATCTGGCCAATGAACAGATTTGAAACTTACCTGACTCTGCCAAGTGCGGTCTAAGTACACAGTTAATTTTTAATTAAAAAAAAAAGTGTACTGCTGAGCTCAGGTATCGAAACAACTGTCATTCAAAGGATATCATCCTAGAGCCATCCTTAAAGGAGACAATTACAGAAAATCAAAGGTAGTCTCCTGCTCTGAGTATTACCTGGGCACTTCTCTCCCCATTTACCATAGGTACCTCATCTCCCAACACAGATCCTTGAATTATATGTCAAATACAAAACTATCTGATCTTCCTTTCTCTCCCCTTCTTGTAACCAAGTAAGATTCCTGGGGACACTTGGTGGAGGAACACTGATGCCTAAGATCAAGTCTGTACAATCCTTTCACCCAGTGAATAACATGAAGCCTCTTGGTTTAATGTGTTATAGAGCAGATCCCTGCAAAACCCTCATCACCTACTGCTTGCTAAAAAGTTTCCATTTCTTGTTCCCAGCATAATGAGAGTCTTTATTTAGTCTAAAAAATTAGGCAATGTATTTTCATTTCAAATATCTCATTCTTAGTGGAAGCATGAAGGAGAATTGTTCAACTCCATGCTGTGCAACCCAATAAATTTGCTCACTGAAAAACTTAAAATATAAGCCAGGAAAATAGTAAAGCTCTCTGCTCTGGAAAGCAAGGAGACCAGAATGTGTGATTTGGGTGAAATCCTGTGACTTTCACTCTCATGAGTAACCCACACACACCTTAAGGACATGTTGCTGAAAATGAGTGACAGATGATACAGCAGCACCACAGCTCTGGATACAGCCATTAGCAGATGGTACCAACCATGCCATAACAACTGAAGCTTGTGTCTTTCTGTGCCCTACACAGCCTATTACTCCTTAATTCCTCAGAGCTGAAGGGATGCTCCTCATGTACCTTGGAGAGGGAAGGAATGGAGGAAAAGAGGGGTCCTTAGTGACCAGCATCTTCCTATTCTGGGGCAAAGTTCCCCAGACAGAGGTTTCAACCTTCCCCGTCATCAGTGAGGGTGCGCAGGAGAAAACTGCCAACAGGGAACACTAGCAGTTTATCCAAAACCTTTAACTGTCCTTCTCTACTCCAGGATTGGGGTTTTTGGGCATTTTTACCAAACTATTCCTAGACATTTCCTCAGCATTCTTCCTAATGACATCTCTTTGTGATATTCATCACAGGTAATACCTAGAGCCCATAGGACTCCTAAAATGCCTTGCTATGGAAGACATTTACTTTGCCCTTTTATCTTGCAGGAAAGGGATCTGCACTTCCAAAAAGAAAGGAATATCTCTTTCCTGTACGAGGCACAAAGGGTTAAAAGTGAATCTATGCATAGATACCGAATAATACACATCTGTCATCTGCAACAGGTTCTTGGTGCTTCCATTCTCCTGCATCTCGATGGTCTCTCTGCCCCACTCCTGTGCCCGGGGATTCTTCGGATATTCAGCATAAGGTGACATCTGGAAATCCCCACTCTTGAAAATCAGTTTACTTATGTCATTTTTATTCTTCCTGTTTATAAAAGAATGAGGGAAAGTGAAAACTTACAACTTATCCTGCTGTCTTTTATACACTTCTGGCATGATCTCAGGAGAGATCATTACTTGATGTAATGAATCTTGACTGGGAACAAAGATCACCTCAGAAGGACTACAGTCCAGCCATCTGCTCTGAAGCCAAGTCAGATATGAAATCAGGTCATGCAGCTCAGGGCATTATCAGGTGGGATTTGAAATCTCCAGAGTTACATGGCAACCTCCCTGAGCAACCTGTTCCACTGCCTTACTGCTCCCTTGGTGAAAGAATATTTCCCTACATTCAGTTTGAACCCCTCCTGTTCCAGCTATGCCCCTTGTCTCTTGAAAACATGTGTGTTCATCTAAGTCAATGGAAAAATCATGGAAATGGAGGAAGAAAAACATATGGAAGTCCCCATGCTATTAACTACAGCACTTGTTAATACCTAATTAATTTAGGAATGTTAATTCCTAAGAAGGAAGACCTGGCAAGGAGCTGGCCTGAGGGACACCAAATGTCCCTCCAGGACTATAATGGTTAATGAGTGGACTTTGGTGACACTTCCAGGTCAAAGCAGAGTATCCTCCAGGAAGTTGCATAAGCTGCCCAAGGCCAGGGCTCATGAGATCAGTCCACCCTTGTGGAGATCTGCACTCTGGGCCACCTCGTCTTCTGGCTGGGGTTTGCTGGCATCCCCCTGGCTGAAAATACGGGGTAACATGGGCACAACCAAACCACTGCCACATCGATATTACTGACAAGTCCAGTTGCCAGCTTTATCAGAGAGCTTTGAAATCCTAGATTTGGGGACTGGAATAGTGAGGAGAGGGTTTTACTGCAAGGCATCCCTTTTCAGATAACATGAATCAGGAAATAGAGATTACTAGGCAAACACATCCTGTCCAAAGCCACCTGCTGGTATGGGAATGAGGTGTGTATGTGTGTGAGTGCGAGGGAGAGACACACAGAGTGAGAGCACATGCAGGACTTGTCCATAAAGATGGATGAAAATAGCCTTAAATACACTCAAACACCACTTGAGCAACAGCAAGTAACCTCCCCTGTTGCCTAAACTGCTCCTTTCTACTTAGCTTGCACTTTTGAGGTCTGCTTCCTGGCTTCAGAGCCTTACAGCTCTGCATTGGGAAGGACTCCCCTGCCTCTCCATCTTTGGAGGACATGATTTCCAGGTGTACCTTTAAGAAACACCCAGTCCATTGTTTAGCCTGGCTGCTGGGGAAAAAAATTAAAAATTCTCCAAATGAAAGCACAGTATGATACTTCTGTATCTCAGATTACCCCACTTGCTTAGCCTATGTTTTCACCTATGTTTTGGTCCTTAGCTGTGCTATGTTTTAGACTTTAAGAGCTCACACAGGGGGCTCTGGGTGTGGTGCAATTCATGGGATTGAGGTGGGCTGGCAGCGGTACCTACCGGCAGCAGGTGACAATCAGTGCAATGCCCATGATCAGCAGCAGTCCCCCTCCTGCAGCTGCAATCACCACCGTGATGAGCTGATAGGCTGCAGACAGGAGAGACAGAGGCTGAGAAACAGCAGTGTGGTTTAAACCCCAGTGTAACATACCCACAGTCCCCATGCAAAGGGATTAGCTGCTTATTTCCCACCTTCCCCCCTTCCCCTAAGGAATACAGCCCTAAGAAATAGAAACAAGTTCTTGATTCCCTAAGGAATAGATCGCCTTCACTGATAGATCAGAGTAACTCAAATGGATTCACCTTCAAATATCTAGCTTCAAGAATGCCCACTATATGTGCTATCCTGACAGACCATACAGGGAAAGGAGATCTCCTTTTCTTAAATGACATTAAGTCAGCCTTGTAAAAGGAAGTCCACAAAATTACTTTTAACAGAAAATGAAGGAACAAAAAGCACTGAAAAAAGTAGTGTGTACCTACTGCACTTCAGACACAGTCACTTGCAATTATTTGTTTCAAATATCCTATTTCTGACACTGTAGAAAACGAAAGGAATGAAATTTGGTACTCACGGTTTCCACAGTTGAATCCACCCAAGCCAAAAGGGCAGCTGGAAACAGAGAACAACAGGGAGTTTCAGCAGCTCAGTTGTGCCAACAGGTCACCAGAGCAAGGATGGTGGGGTGGGAGGAGGGCAGAACAGTCACCATACCTCACACAGGTCTCGTTTTCCAGCTTATATCCATCTTCACAGGCTGAAAGCAGAGAGAAGGGCCGTGAGCACCGCGCAGTGGAGCCGGCAGGGATTTCCCAGCGCAGCCTCACCCGCCCGCCCCCAGCTGCACCGGGCTGGATGTCCTGTGCCTTGGGCAAAACATCGGGCACTTGAGGTGAATAGGGTAAGTTATCCCTCCTGCTGACTTTAATGGAACCATTTCAGGGCTCCCAAGCGGAGCCAGTTTGGAGCCTGGCACAGGGAGGGCTGCTGGCATTCCCAGCAGAGCTTCTTGCCCAAATGAAAACTCACTGCACACTTGTGCTGCTTCACACAAAACAGCAATGTAAAAAATGTGCAAGTGCCTCCAGTTTTCATTTTGAAAGTCCACTTAAACTATGCTACTTTAGCATTGGCACGTGTTATTAATTACATTTAAATGTTAGTACTGCAACAAGACGTAATGCAAATACGGTCAGGGTAACCCAAAGTGGGATGCTGATGTTATTTTTTCTCATGTCACCTTTTTTTCAGATTTCTCAAATTTGCAGCTAAATCAAATTTTGAGATATCATATTTTACTATATGAATAGAATTTTTTTTCAATAGAAATTGAATTTATTAGGTCAAGATAATCTAGAAAACTACTATGTGCAAAATGTTGGCGAAAAACTGGAACCATCACTTCAAAATAAAATAATTTCCATGCTTATGGACAGCTATCCTGAGGAAATTATATGAGGAAATTATACTACCCTTCTGATGAACAGCAAAGGGGATGATACATTGGACACACAACTATAAGGTTCAAATTACTGATAAGATCACTGCTTTTCTCAGCAGTAGTCCCACCAGAGTTCTGACAGAGGTAGTGAAGGTGGTCACTCAAAGGCCTGGGCAGGAGTGACACAGACAGAGACAGAGTCACTTTGGACAGAGTGACAAGCCAGGGCTAGCACAGGCAGCAGCCCTTGGGGGTCTGCAAGACATCACCCAAGGTCTGGAAACCCCCTGTGGCACATATTCCATGGGGAATTGTTCAATGAAAACAAAAATGCTTGCGGATTTCTCCTCCATCAAACACTTTTGCCTAAAACTGTCACAGAATTTCCCTAAATTTAATTTCAGTTTCAAATCAAATAGTTGGACTGGAGCTCCATTTTAAAGAAACACCCAAGACTGATTTTAATATTTTCAATTACAGACAATCAACCACAGCACTCTGTCAGAAGCTCACAGTTAATTTTCATCAGCCATTAAAAACATTCACCTTCTTTCTGGTCTGAATTACCTCCGTGTCAAATTCCAGACTTTGGATGTTTACTTATTAGATTGGAAAAGGTTATATGATCAGATTTCTCCTCCTCACCACCAAATCACTCCTTTATCTTTAATAAAGCCAAGGCCACTGAGATCTTTGAGTCTCCCTAATTATTGCAGCTTTTCTCCGAACGCTCACAGGTTCTCTTTGACCCTTCTGATTTCTAATTCCCAGAAATAGATGTTGCAAGCCCAGGGATAACAAAATTTACCATCTTCTGCCTACCTCACATCCTCAGGATGTGTGGGCACAGAAGACTGTGGCACTCACATCACTTCTGTGGCTGCAGACACAGACTTGCTGTAGCAAGTGGCACCAGTGATGGTGGGAGCTGATGCCCACAATATCTGGTCTTGCACACCTTTCTTTGATCTATGTGGCCCCACTACTCCACCACTACCTCCCTCATTCCATTTATTTTTCCAGAGCTGAGGATGGGGAAGGTGAAGCTCATGACACAGCACCCCTGCTGCATCACACTGTGATGCTTTTTGTACTAGATATATTTTTGTTCCTCTAAAATGATTTCTTTGAAGTAAAGGAGGAGAGCAGAGGTAGCTGAAAGAGTTAAGAGCCCCAGTCAGCAAACAGCCAGGGCAAGGATAGTAAATCCCAAAGAATCCTTGCCTGGCTCATTCATCTCACTGGGGCATTAGCTAAAGGAGGCTGGATGGGTTGCTCCTTTCCCTTGCTAACAAAAGTAGACTGAAAACATTATGGAGTGAACGTTCCACCAGGACTGGGCAGTAACAAAAAGTGCAGTGGAAGGGAGGGAGGGAAGCATCCCCTCATAGCTCACAGGAGTTGCCTTCTCAAATGAGCACAGCAGCCCTGTGTATCCCAGCTCCAGCCCACTCCCTGCATGCTGGGAAGGCTGCAGGAGCAGGCAGACAGGTGCTGGAGCCCACCCTGAGCTCAGCAATGTGTGTGAGGCACATCCACCTGGAGCAGTGTCATGGGCAGGAGCAGCCCTGGCACCTCGCTGGCACACAGTTCTCAGGTCAGGGGGATATGGGAGCAGAAAAGAGGAAAAGCAAGATCCTGAATATGCATTTCTCTGTCTTAAAAACTTGGTGCTTATGTATTTTCCTCTCCTCCCTGTTTCTTTTCCTGCCACTTTGCTTTCTCCTTTGGCATCTTTGCTGCTCCTTTGAACACGCTCCCAGGAGAGCTCTCACTGTCATACTCACTTGGCAAGACTCCAAACACAAGCAGGGAACAGAGGAAAGGCCTAAGGGTCAGGGGCCAAGCAAAGCTGTTGAGTTGTGCTCTTCAACCTAGGATTCCTTTGCCTTCCCAAAAGACACTCAGGGGTCTCTTTGGAAACCTGCTTTGCTGCTCCTTGCTTCACTCCAGAAACACTCTGTACTGGTAAAAATAACATGCCCTTGAAAGGCTGGCACACTGGGTTTGCTGCTCTGATACTGAAATAGCCCTGAAGATACTGAGAAGGCTGAAAATCAGCAGCAACCCAGAGACACTGAACAGTACAGCAAGAGGTACCCTGGCCAACATGCTGGACCTCCTGTGGCTCAGAGACCCAACCCTTCCCTGGCCCATGGCTTGCTTTCCCAAGCGTGTCCCTGGGGACAGATGCCTCAAGGAGGACAGAACAAATCCTGTGGGTCAGGGCAGCCAATTCTCCCAGCCTTCCCACGGGGGAGACCGGACAGGGCAGCACAATAGCCATTTCCCCCTTTGCAAATCCTATAATTGGAGCTACTAAACCACATTTTCACAGCCCACAATGAGGGTCAGATGCTCACGAGACCTTGGTTCCTGTTTAGGCACTAAAAGGGCAGAGGTTTTCAAAGAGGCTAGTATATTGTATGCTATATTTATCAGCAAAATAGCCCTGAATATCAAAATGGGGGCCATAGCTTGGCTTTTGAAAAGCCTTTAAAAATCCCAACCACCTGGCTTGCTCAGATGGGCACAAGTGATAATGAAAATCTGGCATCTTGTCAGAGTGTGGCACCATGCAGCCAGTGCTGCCCTCATGCCTCTGCACTGCTGCCTAAATCCAGCATCAGCCCTGTCCCTCAGACACCCTCAATAACATCAATAAGATGTTTCCTACTGACAGCAGTGAGATGAAGGTGGCATTTAGGCCTCACTGTTTACAGATAAGGTTTTCATATTTTCCACAGCAAACAAGTTTCATAAGTATGGAGTGATCATACGTACAAGGCCTTACATCTCTTAGCCCTGTGCAACCATCACACCCAAGTGCCTCACAGCCTTTCAGGTCTTTATCTTCACTGCTTGGCAAGAGGCATGAACAAGACAAATGGAGTAACTTTCCCTGGGTCCCCACAGTCCATGATGGAACAAGAATTGGGTAAAAATCTCTCCTCAGCTCCTCACTCACTACATAGGCCCATCTCTGACTCTCTAGGGTTGGTGGAAATGCTCAGTATTTCCCAAAAGAAATTCTTCCTCCAACATACAAGATGAGAGGAAGGGAGGAAAACACAAAGGGAAAGGTTTTGTCACAAAGGGGCCACAGAGTGCAGGAGAGGCAGGGCCACGACCTGGCAAGCAGAGATGCCCATCTCTGAGCTGTCCCTCCCAGAGCCTGTAGCACATGAGTTATTTCCAGGCACATTTTTCTCACTCTCAGATTTGGAACTGACAAAACATCTCCGCCTATTTCAAGAGCAACCCAGCAGGCAGTGCCAGAAGCAATATATTACCACTACTGCAATTGTTATTGATATGTCATCAGAAAAGGCCTACAGCAACCACAAACTAGGGAATGGACACCCTGATCCTCCAGAAGTCATTTTGAACATTGGCATGTAAAGACTTTGTTTAAAATGCAGCAAAACCAGATTTGTTGATCCGAGGAGTAGCTAAAAAATACCATTAAAATATCTTTAAGCTTAAAATTTCTATTTGGAACTCACCTGAAAAACAAATTCATAACCATTTTCAGATACAAATTTTTAAAATACTGATGATATATTAATATAAGCTTTTGAGTTTAAAGCACTTCCCCTAAGTTCACTGAGAGTTCAGACAAAATCAAAACAGGCAGAGACACACGTCATCTCTGCTCTGTGCCACTGAACTGGAGCCCAAAGCAGCCAGGCCCCTTTCTCCCTCTCCTCAATCACTGAGACTCACAGCAGGCTCCAGAAAGAGATAATATTATTCCTAGAGAGACACTGAGTCTTCAGTGTCTGCTGAAAAGCCCCCTAACTAAATAAAAGAAACTTGAGCTGCTAATATTTATTCATAATATCGAGGGTTTTGCTGGCACAGCACTACAAGCACACACTCATTTCCACTGCAACAAAAACTTTGAGGAAAATCCAGGCAAAGTACACCACATAAAGAGCAGTACCTCTGCAGGAGTGGTCCATCTTGTTGTATTTGAAGTACCCACTTTTGCACTGGCAGAGAGCAACCCCATCAAAGTCGGTGCATTCTGAAGTTTCCTTGTCACATTCAGGGTCCTTCTGTCTGCACAAGCTGCCAGCTGTTGGGAAGAGTGGCCAACATCAGCATGGTTCTCTCTGAACCCACCATTATGCACATTTGCTTTCCCTAGGCATCCCATTCAGTTGATGCGCTGATTTAATAACTTTTTTTTTTTTTAAAAGTAATATTTGTTCCATTAAGAGGGAGTCAACATTACCCTGTGTCACCATTTCTTGTGTATCTACCATCATTTGTACAGGCAAATAGAGGGGGTAAGTAATAAATGTTTCAGTTTGGAAGCAGAAGGGGAATGAAAAAGAGAAATCTGGTTTGGCTCAAGCTCAAACACATTCATCCCCTGACACAGTTCAACAAATCAATTTTTAAGTTTATATCAAGCAAAACATTACACCAAACCAATTCTTTTCCATTTCAGTACTAAGCACTGGATTTTTCCATTTTTCAAACAAAAAATCTGTACTTTCATTTATATTACTTTGAAGCAGTGTTTTAATTTAGAAAGTCAGATTTGTTACAATGAGCATTCAGCAAAACTGTGGATAAATGATGGAAATTTTGACATCAAATTTACATTTTTACTGGGAGGTCAGACTAAATGGAATTAATAAATATTTGTGAGAAATAGGATTTTATGGAAAATATGTCACTCGTTTGGCACTCTCCTTTTATAAACCTTTCCTTGCTAGATCAGGGGTTTTTTAATCTGACATGTTTTCTTTTAGGTACTTACACAGGAATACAATTTGTTTCTTACTCTGCTTATTTCAAGTTAGAAGTTGACTTTACAGAAGCACTGTATCAGAGGTAATGGGTAGGTATAATCCAAGCAGGTTTACCCAAATAATTTAAAGCAAACCATGGGCTGAATATGGCTTTAAAATACAGCCCATTGTAATAAAAGCACACTTCTCATCTGCATGTTTACTCTGCCAAAATGATACTGGGGGTTTCCCACTAAAGCCGGGCTAAGCATTGCCACCCTTCATCCTCCTCGAGGCCGAACCTTAAAGCCTCAAACCCAAAAGTCACAAAGCAGCACGTACAGCAGTTTCCTTGCAGGAATCTCTCACAGATAAATCTCCTCCATCACTCCTCAGGAGGTGAGAGCTGGAAGATAACAGGGCACAGCACTGGGGTCCACCTGGAGAAGGTCACTGGTGTCCTTCCCCACATTTTTCTGTGCTGTATCCACACTGCCCTTCGGCAGATGGAGCATTCAGTACAGAAATCATAGTTCTCACTGATTGTGAACCATTTTACAACCTGCAGCACTGAAACTGGGCAGGCAGGAGAGCAGGGCTTGCTGTGCAGCCTCCAGCAGCTCTAATTGAGCTCACCAGCAGGGTTTTGTCTCTTGGCTTTCACACCATTTCCCTGGCTCCCAGCCGCACGTGTGAAATTAAGAGTTACAGTTTTTTCATCTTGCTGGGCCCAGTGTCACATCCCAGAGATGAAAGGCTGCCCTACAATGTCTCTAATCCTGTGCTGCACAACATTTTCACTGAGAGGCAGATTTCTCATACATGTGGCAAAGATAAGGCTTGGTATCTGCATCCCTTTTGTACTCGGAGGTTCTTAAGATGACTCCCATTTAAGCAAGATAAAAAGATACAGAGGGATTTTTCCAAATGACAAAATGTTGTCCCCCTTTTATAAAAGGAGCCAAATAAAACATCCTTTTCCCCTCCTGCCACAGCCCTTCCAGATGCTATTTACCTCTGTGGAGTGATTTCAGGCTTGATATGAACTGGCAGGCTTCAGTGGGGGATTTGCAAGCTCGAATGTAGCTTTTCACACTGCTGATAACATCGAAGAAAGTCACGTTGGACGCTAAAGAGAACGTGGATTGCACTGAAACGTGCACAAAATTTGCCTCCCTAACAAAAAAAAACAAAACAAAACAGCTCTGAGTATCACAGGTCAGTTTGATGTCATCATTAGCACCTCATACATAGAACTGCTGTCAACACAAGAGATGCTTCCCACAGACACAGCACTACATGCACTGTGACAGACCTTAAAACCAGGACTAACCAATACACAGAGAGGAGAATATGGAGCTGGAAAGGATGCTGGTAGCTCACTTTGGAACCAGCCATAAATCCCTCCTGGGCAGGCCATCCCCAAGCTGCTCAGGGCAGGAGGAGAGTACCAGGTGAGCCTGGCAGGCTGGTCAGGCATTCCTCATGCCCTGTACCACCGCCAGGCTGGATTGCATCAAGCACTGACTCAAAATGGAGAGTGTGGCTCTCAAGGTGAAGATCCCAAATGCTCAAGTGTCTCATTCTTCCCCTGGCACCCTCAGCCTTACCTGCTTGCCTTAACTGTGGAGTGGTGGTATCCTGGCAAGCCTGACAGCGATGCATTGAGCTGCAAGGAGGGAGAGAGCAGCTGTTAGTGCCCAGGGCATCATGGAAGGAGGCAGCCCCATGGGATGTAGCATGGGACAGTCCTCCTGGGTCACTGACACCATCCCCTGTGTTTCCCAGAGATGCTTGCTGAGACCAAGGGGGCTCTGAGCATCCCAGAGATTTATCTGCTCTCTAAGAGAAAGGCACTGCACTGTTGTCAGTAAGGGGCGGACAAAGTCACCATTGCAGAGCCTTGGGGATTTTGATATGAGCATCTGCCCGTGGCCCTGCTGTGTAACAACCACAAAGGTCAGAGTTGAGCCAGATGTCAGCAGGGAGAGAGCCCCGTGCAAGGCCAGCCTCAAAGCAGCACCCTTGGAGACTGCAGATCCTCCTGACCCTGGGTCTGTGCAGTTGTTTGTACTTACTCCCCAGCACAAGCTGTGCAGGCAGCATCACAGTGACTACACCCAGCATCTCCTTCCTCCGGCAGCATCTCCAAATCCATCTCCAAAGAGCTGGAATGAAGTGCACCCATCCCAGGAACCACTAACAGGATGAGCTTGTGCATGCAGTGATCTGGATAAGAACTGCACAGGGATGTGCAGATAATCCCAGCCCATGGGTCTCTTTGGAGCTATTGATGGCACAGCCTTTGGGGAAGCCAAGAGCCTGCCCAGCACTGGCTCTCAACTGACCAAGAGCCACATGGCTCAAACTGAATGGCTGGAAAATGTGACAGTCATAAAAGGAGTGAAGGGGACTTGTGCCACCAGCACTGCCCAAGTCCCAGCAAGGACACTCACCACCTCCAGGATCTCCCTCTCCACGTGGAAGAGCTCTGTGTACTTCCCGTGGGTGATGTTAAGTTTCAGGGGAACCTGGCCAATAAATATTCTCACTAAAAAGTAGAATAAGACAAGTTAGTTGGAACACATCTCTGTGCCATGTGTAGGTGTGGTTTTATCTGCCTTCCATGAGAGGCTGTTCGCATGGAAAATCCCTTTACAAAGCATACAGAAAACTCAGATCTGAGAGCCACTGCCCCAATAAAGCAAAGTCACAGCCTTGGGGTTTTTTTCCCCAAGGGTTGCTGCAATGTTCCCACAGTCCCAGGCAAATTCCAGAGCTCAGTGCTGCTGAACAGACAGCATTTCACTTCAGTGTTCATACATTTCATGCAGAAGCACAGACTAACTTAAATAGATCCCTGAACACAGAGAGAAATGGGTAAATTTAGTAGGAAGACAGTGTCAGGTACCAAAGCTATTTATGATAGTTGGGGGTCAAATTATGTCAAATCTCTTACTTTTCCCTGCAATGGAAGGAAATCAAATCAGCAAGTCAAAATAAAGCACTGTAGAAATGATATTTTCATTTTTCAAACTGCTGGAGAGAATGAGCACTGGCATTTGAAAAGAGGTCCAAAAGATGCATTTTTCTGTGCTTAGATTCATATTTGATTCACAGCAGCAGAATGCAATAATCTGGGTTGTCCAGACTTGCAGAGATAATACCCCTAAATCTTGTATTAAGTGTCATGAGATACTCAGTGGAACTGAGAACTCAGAATTCCAGCTTTATGTTCCACCAGAAAAACAAATACAGTTGCAGATAACATTATAAAGTCCTCAATTCTTTCCCATTTTTTTCCCATCCACTGAACCTATCTTCACCACAAATTGTATATCAGACATCTTTAATATAGCAACTCCAGAGAAAAATTATGATGAGAATCACCTTCACAGTGTTTATATAATCTGTCCATACTCCAGTTCAAGGCATAATCAAAACAAGTCTCTAAATTAGAAGCTGACATATTCCAACTTGAAGAAATGTTCCAAAACACTCTTCAGGGACACCTCACCCATGTTTCCTTAGCAAAATTTCCATGCCTCTAATCCTTGTTGATTAAGGGTCAAAAGAAAATCTATGAAAACAATTTGCCCTTTACAATGGAATATTGTAAGTCCTTGAGACTGAGAGTCCTCTGATAGAAAGGAAGGGGTCAGAACCTGAGTTCCAGCTAATAACTGTGCTGCTCAAAAAATGCTAAAGGTATGAAACCAGACCTTGATCTCACAAAGACTTTCACCACAGCTGCTTAACTTTCCACACATGGCTGACCCCACTGAAGCCAGGTTACACAACAACCCCCCTCACTTCTCCCAAGCCTAGTGCCTTCACCAGAGTTTGCAGGGCTGATAAGCTGCTGGATGCTTTTTGGGGGTTTTAAAACACATCAGGAGCAGAAGGGGCACATCTGTCCTTACTAACAAGCCTGAGCCCACTGCTCCATTGCTGAGTTTTTAAGAACTCAGATATCTCTGCCTGCTCCCCAGGCAGCCCAACACAACAGGCATTAGACACCACACTTGTATAAACACTAAAAGGCTCTGATAAAAGAGGTGGTTGGGAGGAACATTAAGCTTCTGAACTAGTTCTGAGCCTAAGTCAATTTATTTTAGAACATTAAAGATAATTATTTCCATCCCTGGTTTTTCACTTTTGTTTTCTTACCTAAATTGCACTTTCCTTTTTCCAGCTCATATCCAAGAGGACACTGACAGATATAGGAGCCATGGGTGTTGTTGCAGGTGGCCAGTGCAGGACAAGGGTTGGAAAGACATTTATCCACCTCTATAAAAGTAAAAAAACCAACAAAACAACCAAACAGATTATACTTACAGAATCATAAAAATCATCAGCTGCTGGGCTAAAAGAGATGAACTTGGCTCCCCATCTGTGACTCCTTGAGCATTATCAGATGCTTCATTGCATCATTTGCACTTACTATTTATGCTGTTCCTAATTACTCTGTTGGAGCTGAAAGAATAAATATAAACCACTTGAATATTCATTCAAAAGCCCTTGAGGTCTAGCACGGATCCATGTTAATTTGAACATCCAACTGATCTGTAGCACTGCTCATCAGAAGATCTCAAGGTTCCTTCCAAAGACAAACAACCCAACAGTTTATGGATGAGAAGACCAAAGAAGGAACCTCAACAGCCCAAGTCAGACATGTGGGCATGGGCTGCTTCACCAAAGTCCTGCCCTTTTCATCCAAGCCCTGTTTCTCTGCTCCATGGGCAGAGCTTGAGCACTGATCCAGTCTGCAGGTTACCCAGTAATGGTGGAGGCAGCCCTGGCTGCAATCACCTCCTTCTCCAGGGCTCCTCCATGCCAGCCTGGGGATGGTCACAGCAGTGATTCCTGCCTGTGCCACCACTGCCAGTGCCCTGCCTGCTGGGTGGGCAAGAGCTTGGCGAGCAGACACCACTGTGATAGTAGAGTGTCTCAGGGGAATAAAGACGGTATCTCAGATGCTTCATAGATTACACAACTCAAACTGCAAATTCTGAAGAATATTTCCTCTTGAAAAAAAAAAGAAAAAATATGTCCTGGTCAAAAAAGCTCCTCTTGCTGCATCTATGACTCAGATGAGCACAAACACACATCACACACACCCACAAGGGCAGGCCATAGGCAGAGCTAGGGACTTGTCAGTGACAAGGCTCTACAAGACCAGCAAGACATCTTAGACATCTTACACCCCACTCATACCTATCTTGTGGCTGCTGCTGCTGAGTGCTGCAGCAGAGGCAGGAAGCACAGGTTCTGTGGTTACAGCATTGAAGCACAAGAACCAAACCCATGTGTGCATTTCTGGTGGCACTGCAGTAACCCACAGCACCACACAGACCTGACAGCTCTCTCTGCCCTGGGACACACCACTCAATGCCATCTCATGCCTGGACCGGCCTGGCACAGCTACCTCAGCATCAGTGAGAAGCAGATTTGGTGACTCTAATCTAAGCAGCCAGAAATGAGTGGGTGTGATTTAAAACCATGGCTTTCACTTTGCCATCCTTCAGTTTGTGCTTCATACAGCAGAGATCAGGGCAGCCACTCTCAAGGCAGTGAGTGACCATGGACAAAGCTCCATGCCCAAGACAGCAGAAGGATCTTTTGCATTCTGGTGAATGGCAAAGTGTGAATCATTTTCTAAAAAGGATGCATTATCTTAATTTTTCAATTAAAAAATCATTCCAGTAAAGTAATTTTTTTTGCATGAAGCTATAGCTATAATTAAAAGCAATCAGCCTGAGAAATAACCTTTAAATACTTAATTATTGGATGGAATATATATTATTGCCAGTATTTCACTGAGATTAATGCCTTTAGCACACACAATATCCTACAGTGGCATGATGGCTGGGCTGTGAACTTCAAACACAAAGTCAATTTCCTTTTATATAAGACTTCAGCAAATGTATTTACTTGAGAAGATAAGGATACTGGCAGTGGTAATAAATTTCTATAACAACATTCTCAGCAAGACTAGCAGGAGAAGCATCAGGCCCCTAAGAAGATTAATATTTAGTGAGGTGGGGAGAAAACAACTATAGGTTGTAATATGAGAAGCAGCTTCAACAGAAATACCAAGTGCTGGTCAGCTTTCTCAATAATAAGACAGATATCAATCATTATATTTCTTGATGGATTAACAATAACAATAGATAAAGTGCATCCTGTGCTTACCTGTAAGGCCAATCAGATTTATTTTCTCAAAACAGCCAAATCTCAGCTTAATCTTTCTATCAGAAATGCTCATCAAAGTGCTCACCCTTATTTCACCCATTCAACTTGACTGCTAAACACTTAGCTTAAAAAAAAACCAACACAGAGACAAATTATTGCACTCCAACCCTGCTGACAACAGACTTGTGATACATGCATGCACACATAGCTCTTTGAAAACTCCTGAAGTGGGACCCAGGAATTCCTGGCTGCTTGTTGCTGGCCCCACCACTGGTGAGAGCCATTGCACACATTACCTGTGGCTGGAGGTGATGTCCTCAGCCTGACTGTGCTGCTTGGCAGAGGAGCAGTGGTTGGTTTGGCAGCGGCCAAAGTCGTTGCAATGCTCCCAGTGGTTTTGATGGTTGGAGGTGCTGCAGAGGTACTTGTAACAGGGATGTTTTCCTCAGTGGCTTTACCAGGCTTTGCAGTGGTGGGAGCCATGGCTTCTGTGCTTTTACCAGTGGTGTAACTGTGCTTAGTGGCAGTGGGTGTCTGGGCCCTGTGGTCCTGCATGGTGCTGGCCTCACCTGGGCTGGGCCGGCGACCGGACGGCGTTGTCAGCACAGGAGGCTTCACCGTGGTCACTGCCACTGTGGGGACAATGCTGCCCTGATTTGCTGCACTTGCTGAGGGACTAAGGGGTGCATCTGTTGGACCAGCCTGTGGAGCAACACTGGCTGTGGTGAGCAGTGGTGTTGCCTTCCCAGAGCTGTCCCCATTGGTGGTGGCATCTCTAGGTGAGGCAGTCTCTGTTACTGTCACGGGAGCGGACACGGACACGACACGTCCACCAAGCAGCTCCATGGGTTCCGTAGGGAGAGGTGACCTGGTGGGAGTGAAGGTGGTGCTCTTTTGGGGCTGGTGTGTGACACTGGGCTTGTTGGTCTCTCTGGGTGAGCTCCTGGCTGTGGCAGCTGTGGAGGGCTCCTGCCTGACCGTAGCCACAGTGGTACTCGCTTGATCTCTCTCACTGGACTGCGAGATGGATGAGGGGGATGAAAACACAGACAGTAAAGATGCCAATGAGTAAGATGGGGAGGGCAAGGAGGAAGTGGGCAAGGAGGATGGCAAAGCCTGCAGAGGGGGTGAAGATGCCATCACAGAGGGCAAGTGTGGCTCAGGTGATTCTGACCGTGTAAACAGATGAGTTGGTGGTGGTGTTGATGACAGCAAGTGCTGCAGTGATGACAGTGAGGAAGAGGCTGGAAATGCTGATGAAGACAGAGAAGATCTGTCAGTGGTCAACAACTCAGAGGCAGTGTTGAATAGAGTTGTATTTTCTATGCTGCCTGTAGAAGCAGATGTCGATGGTTTGGAAGGGTGCACCAGCAACGGCTCCGTAGATGGTTCAACAAAACTGCTTCTGTTTGACGCATTGGTCTGCCTGTCATGAGCCACAGATGATTGTGAGGCATCAAAAGGGCTGGAAATTTCAGAAAAAAAGGTGGAACTTTCTGAGGAGTCAGCAGAGGTGCTGCTGTTGGAGATAGACAGGAGGGTCCTTTCTCCTCCTCTGGTGTATGTGGTTGAAATGTATGTGCCGTCTGTGTGAGAGACCGAGGTCCTTTTCTCAGCATCACTGCCACTGACTGGCTGGTGGCTACCTGAAAAGTCTGGAGTAAAAGGACAAAAATATTAGAAACACAGAGTAATATGAAAGCATTTTGATGTTATATTAAAGCTGCTTGCTAAATAAGATGTTCTTGTCTGTGAACCTGTCCATGATTTTCTAAGAATTTCAAGCACCGTTCAGGCATGGTTACACAATTAGGAACCTTATGCATGCCTTAATTGATTGTAAAATTATGAACCCTGACAGACACAAGAGTCCCATGAATGTAGGTTTCCAAGTCACTGTTCTTCACATATTGCTTTCCTAAGTGATTGAGATCTCAACATTCCATGGTATTTGTGGCAAGCTAAGCAGGAAAACCCAACTGCTCTCTTTATCACTCATAATTTACAAAACTCATATCCTCTCTCTCTTATCCTCCATTCCCATCTACAGAATATCCATCTTGCTCAATCAATTTCTTTTTAGACACAGTGAACTTCATGCCTCTGCAGGATGAAATTACTACATTATGTTAATTTGCAGCTTATCATGAACCCAGTGATTCATAACTTTACAGCTAGGAAAACCTAAATGCACATCAGCATGTAAAAATTCAGATTATTTAGCACAAAACGTGCAATCAATCTTATAGTACCAGTTTCAGGATGTACAGCTAAGGTCAGCCAACTTTTAAAAAATTTAAAATGGTATTGAAATTTTGTTTTAATTCTAAAATTACTTAGGTTATTGTGAAACAGTTCTGAAAGCATCATCCAAAAGAAACCAGTTAGAGTGCAAAAAAAAAAAAAAAAATGCAGCCATCAAAACAGGAGGGTTTATGGCTCCACTTCTGGAATAGTTTCCTATCTGTGTGGGGTCTGGTTTTGAGTCCTTTGATGGAAATATCCACCTGAGTAAACCCACAGGTGGTATTGAATGTAGTAATGAACAAAAAACTTATGTACAACATAGTAAGAAACAGACAATGTGAATTCCCCCTAAATGTACACCAAAACCCATCAACTTACTTGTGAGATCATTCTGGAAAGAAGAGTAAGTGGGTATCTTGGCAGAACGCACAAACACCGTCTCCGTCGCAAAGCCCGTGAAGCCCCCGCTGCTGGTGGAGGCGTTGGCTGTCCTGCCCTGCTCCACCAGGGCTGGCTCAGATGGCCCTGGAGAGCTGGGAGCTCCAGCATGGAAAGAAGAGCTCTCCATGCCACCAGCCAGAGTGCCACCTGTCACTGAGAGCAGCATCCTCTCCTCAGCACCCGCAGACGGGGATGAACTGTACACGGGATCGGTGATGGGGCTGGGCATCCTCTTCTCAGCACCTGAGCTGCTTAGGGAGCCATGGCTGCTGCCAATAGCTGAAAAAGGATGGAAAAGCAGGAGTCTGATTTTATCATCTCAGAGCAGACAGGACTGCCCAAATACTGAGGAATCAGTACCATTAGTCATAATTGTATGTTTATGTTATTTGTAATTATCACCCCAACCCAGACAGGCAGCTGATGTGCCCTACAGAAACAAGAGCCACATGTCTCAAGAATGAGACCCTTCTTGTCAAACATCAACAGCTGCAGATATACAATATCACAGGGCAGAACCATGGCCACTTATAAATGCTGCCCATGACACCTGCAACAGCTGTGTCATACCAATCCCACAGAGAAGGGAAGGGAGAGGCAGACAAACACTACTCAGAGTTCAGAAAAACTCACTGGAAGGTTCAGCAGCAGCAGAGAAGTAGGTGAAGGCCTTGGATGAAAGGGTGACCTTGGGCTCTGGGGACCCTGCTTGGCCAGATGACACATGTCTCACTGGAGGCCATGCCGTGGAGGACGGGACAGGGCCGGTGTGGGTGTCCCCAGCTGTGTCCAGCTGAGATGTGGGGCTTTCTGCTTTTGTGCTCCATGTGCTGTGGCTACCTGGGGCTTGAGGTGTCCCTTCCTTGTGGATGAAGAGTGTGGCTGAAGGTGAAGGCACTGAAACGCTGGCCGAAAATGCAGGCAGCAGCTTTGTTGGGAGCTCACTGAGTCCTGCCCCGCTCTGTGGAACACGACTCTGCTTCCCAGGCTGTGCTGCTGGAGAGGACAGCAGGACTGTGTCCAGGGTGCTGGTGTGGGGGGGAGAGGGAGCAGAGTTCCCTGTGGCGCTGGAAGCTCCATGGGTGTCCAACACAGGCACTGTGCTGCTCTCCTCCCTGGTGGCAGTTCCCACCACACCGGGTGTGCTGGTGAGAGGCAGGTGTCTTCCTGTTGCTGAGCTCTTGTCTGATGAGAGAGAGCAAAGCAAAATGATTTATGCACCCCAAACTATAAATAAGCAGGTGTTCTCTCTTCCATCACCAGCTTCAGGCTGAGGGCACAGAAAGAATTGTGACAGAAAATCCAATCCTGCAGAAAATGCTAACTGTGAAAGCACAGCTCTTTCCTGTGCTAGGAGGAGCTGCTGACAGCAGGACACTCTGGAGAGGGCACTAGGAACATGGTATGGCAGCACTTTTGGGTTTGCTTCCCTCCAGCACTGCTCCTGGTGCCACAGGCATGACCTGGGCACCAGACACCCACACTGTCACCTCTGCACCCACAGTGAGTGAGGGGAGAGCACACAGCACCCAAAGCCCTGGTACTCGAAGGAAAGCATGGCAGGTTTGTATGGGATCAGTAAATACTGCTTTTGCACCCCAGGGTGGAGTCAGGAATGACTGCTGCTGCTTCTGCTGGTATAAACACAGCCAGTGGGGCAGTCTTGAAATTGTGCTGTCCCTGAAAACACAGCAAACCTCGAGACTGCTCTGGCAGCAAGGCTGGCTTTTCCTGGTGCCTAAATGTAAGAAACAGATAATGTGTTTTTCTCTGGAAGTTGAAATTTTCATCCATAACATCCAATGCCATCATCCAGCACCTTCCAGCATGCCCTCCCTCTCCTTGCCCATGCAGATGGGTGTCCGATGTGTGCTCACAGCTCACCTGGGGAGGTGCTTTCTGGAGCAGATGGTGAGCCTGTGAGCAGTGGGTTCACAGATGACAGGGTGGAACCTCTGCCACCACCACCCTGGGTTCCCAAAGAAGACTGGGAATGGCCTGGAGAGCTGATGTTTTCAGTACCAGTGGTGGAAACCTCTGTTGTTTGGGCCAGGGTGGTGCTGGCTGGCAGAGACCTTAATGTCCTCCCTCCTCCCTTGGTGCCTGTTGTGTAAACAGAGGTGATGGTGGTGGGGAAATTGGTTCTTCTCTCTGTTGACAGGATGCTGAATGACACATGGCTGCTTCCAGTAACTAAAATGTGATAAAGAAACAATTTACATTTTTACACATATGGAACTATAAATAAAAATGAGCTTTCTTCCAATAGCACCCAGAGGCAGCAAGTACAGTACACAAACACAAGTAGAAAATATGAGAAAATGTCAATTTTCAAAGATGTAAATCCTTCCTACAAAAATTTGTCTTCTAAAAACCAGTGTGATGCTGACAAAAGTGCTATTATATAAAACTGTTGAAATACTAATGCTGTGCACTTGATTTCACCATTATGTGCCTGAGTGCACTCCATGCTGCTAGAACAAATATCGTGGTGACCCAGAAAAGCCTGGAAATCAGTTCAGACAGTCAACACCCTGAGCAGTGTGAAGGTCTCAGAGAAGTCTGAAGAAGCAGGATCAGGGGGATCAGACCCCTTCAGAACCACAGTGGGAACTATGACCAAACAGCAGCATGAAGGACCTCAGGGACCACACTCAGAGTTGCCTTAAATTTGTTAAGCTGGTTCAAATTCTGGGAAGCAGCATGATCCAAGAAGTAGGACAGAAAGTAGGAACTGAAGTCTGATCCCTGGGACATGATCTAATCCTCACTTGCTTAGCTCTCTTGTCTGTAACATGGAGATAGCAACTGGAGACCGTAAAAAAAGGACTGTGATTTGAAAGTTAATTATTTTTCTTGGCATAATGAAACTTTACACACATGTGCCCTTTCTGTAAAAAAACTAAAGCACGTTTTTTTGGTCAAGAAAGAGCTGAATAATTTCAGACAGAAAATCACACTGCATCCTTCCAAACAGTATATTCTACATAGCAGGAAAGACTGAGGCAAGTGCAAGCTGTAGGAATCGTCCTTTGTCTTGTAAGAAAAATGAAATTTCAATTCTAACATGAGCTCACCTGGGGAAGGACCCTCCAAAGGAGAGCCAGAGCGTGTTAGGGGAGGGTCTGCCACTTCAGTGAAATCTGTCATTCCTGTGGACCCCTGAGCCCTGGAGGTCTCTCTCCCAGAAGATGTGGACAAGGACTGGGTTGTTCCCAAGGTTCTGTACATGGCACTGCTGGACGTGGAGCCCTTGGCTGCTGCCCAGGGGCTGCTGGCCGAGGCTGACCTGGGGGGCCTCCCCCCACTGCTGGATGTGGCTGAAATGGGAGTGCTGGTGGCAGAGGAAGTGAGGGAGGTTTTCTCTGCCACTGGTCTGTGGCTGCCTCTGACACCTAGGGAACAATAAACCAGGTTTGATTTGTGCACACAGAGCTATACACACAACTGTGTGCTCAGCACCCATTTCTACACTGCCCTTTGAGAAACCGAAGGGGTTTCTCTGGGAGGAAATGAATCTCCTCAGTACAGGCAACATGTGCCTTACAGAAACCCATGAAAAATCTCAAACCCACATCCTACTGACCAGCCTGCATGGCAGACACAGCACCAGGTGACAGCTGCAAAACCCCAGCAAGTGTCTCTGGCAGAGAAAGTGTGTGCATGTATCTCTTAGCAATGCTCTTCCCAGGACAGGAGTTTCATTAGTAATGAGGCCATCTATGTTTTTCACCCAAAAGCTGAGCTCCACTCTCCCCCTTCCCACCCACCTCACTGCCAGCTCAGTGCAGCCAGTAACAAAGACATCCATGTGTCCAAAAATGACTGATGGCCATATCTGAAGAAAAACAGTGCAGGGATGTGAAATCTCATCCATCCCAAGGCAGACAGCTTTCAGACTAACAAATTTACCTGGGAAAGGACCTTCAGAGGCAGAGAGGGAGCTTGTGAGCAAAGGAGGGCCTGGGAGATCAGTGGCTTCCCATGTGCTGTTGAGATGATGTGTCCCAGTCCTCAAGGAAGAGGAGGTCCCGCCCAAAGAGCTTGTGGGGCTGCTGCTGGTGGCAGAGTGCCTTGTCACCTCTGCTGTGTGGCCATTTTCTGGGGACATCAGTGTCCCCACTGCCATGCTGGACATGTCGGCAGCCTGGATGTCCAAGTGCTCTGTTGTCTCTTCCGCACTTGGGATGCTCCTGGGGGGTTCATAACTGCTGCCAGAAGCTGAAAAGGGAGGAGAGAAAGGCAAAACTGCATAAACATAAATAAAAACTGCTGGGTAGGTTCCATCTCACTGTCAGTAGATGTAGACAATGTATGTGTGAATATTCAATATGGAAATGTTTAATACTGGGAAATCATTAAGACAGGGGGAAAGTGGTCTCTAAATAGGAACTGCTGAAGTTATTGCTTGCAAAATTCTACTGGAAGTTTTCAAGGAAAATCTATCCTCCCCTTCCAACAAGAATAATATTTATCCATACTTTCATTTCTGTGAAATGTTTTTAAATGTACAGAATGTGCCAAATACAATATTATTCCTCCTTTCTTTAAAATAAAAAGGATATATTTTGTTAATAAAGTGTCTTTAAATAAGAGTTTTGAGCTATCTATCAAAACTCACTTGTGGAAGCACTTCCTGAAATGGATGGCAAGCCTGAGAGCAATGGGTCTGTGACACCTCTGCCTCCATCACCCTGGGCACCCAGAGACACCCCAGGGGTCTGGCTCTGGGCTGAGGAGCTGCTGAGTTCAGTCCCAGAGGTGGAAATCTCTGCCATGGTGACCAGCCTGGTGCTGGCTGGCAGAGACCTCAATGTCCTCCCTCCAGCCTTGGCAGAGGTTGTGGAAATGGAGGTGCTGGTGCTGGTGAAATCCGAACTGAACCTCTCCGTGGCTGAGCTGTTGGACGGCTGGTGGCTGCTTCCAACGCCTACAGTACAATAAAAAAATGGATTTATACACATGAAATTATAAACAAATGGATCAATTTTCTCCCCAGATGCTTACAGTGCACATACAGATACTAAGCATAGGAAGTGTTCAATCAGGACCAAGTGCTCCGTGGACAGGCAGGACTCCCCTCACTGCAGGGAGACCTCGCACAAACCCCAGGGCTCACTGCCAGGCTTTGTGAGAGTGGCATGGCCCAGACAGCAGGAAACCCCACAGGACAAGGACTGTGGGGGTTTGCCTTTAAATCCCACCTTTGCTCTAATGTTGCTGGAAACTTTTTTTTTTTTTTTTTTGTGGCTTGAGCAACAGCATCAAACAGCAAAGGGACGAAACCTAAGCACAGCCACATTCCCATAGGAGCCTGCAGCTCACTACACATCCCACATCCCAGAGCTCAGCAGGGCACAGTCCTTCAGACACTGGGTCTCAGGTTTCCTGCAGCCCCAGTGGTGCTCCCAACAGCTGTATCAGTGTGAGAACCCTGGAGATGTGTTTGCTTCTGAAAAGCTCTGGACACACGATAAGGATTCAGCAACACTGAGGTTTTCAGTATCTGTGTGGAGCAGGACAAAGTCTCTGGTTTTGGGAGCTCCAGACTCTGGCTGCTGCAGAGCAAGCAAGGGGAAGCCATGGAGCCCAGGGATCTCAGGTTTGCTGCCCTGAGCAGGTTGTTCAGCACAGGCATCTCACCCTGCCTAGCTGAGGACAAACCCACCCATGTGGTCGAAGTGTGGGTTCCCAGCCTCCCACCCCACCCCGTCACCACTTGGGCACAGGTCAGACAGGGCTCAGAGCTGCCCTTGCTCCACAGCTGGCACTGTCCCAGTGAAGATATTTCACAGCTGCAGACATCCACCCTGCAGAAAACACTGTGATAACATCCAAAGAACTTCATTTTTTTTTTTTAAGTGGAAAATGCTGGGGTGGGGGTTGGATCAAATTATTTTTTTCCATTGCTCTTTCCTGCTTTCAGCAGGGACTTTCAGCTAACCATCCAAATAATAAAAAATAGAGTGCATGCAAAACAGAGCATCTCCTCTGCTTCAAGAAAGCAAATACTATAAAATGGCTTTTCAAAGCTATGAAACAAAGGCCAGCAAAGCTCACCTCTGACGGTGCTGTCCATGGGAGGTGATGCAGTCAGCAAAGGGCTGGTCAAGCTCCCCGTGACACCCCTGGGGTGTAGCATGATGTGCTCTGCACCAGTCTGGGTGCTTGAAGCTTGGGAGGAGGCCTGGGGCTGTCCCAGGGAGCCAGGGAGGGCAGAGCTGGGGCTGGGTGAAGCAGCTGCAGTGCCCAGCTCTGTGCCCACCCAGCTGCTCATGGATTGGGAGAGGCTGTCAGTGCCTGCAAGGCAATGGGGGAAAGCAGATGAGAATCCAGAGATGGGCTCAGCTGTCCACACACCATTCCACACTGCCCCTCAGCTCCCTGTCTGCACTGTGCCTACAGGATCTTTGTGCTTGCAAGCTGCTCCAAGCAGCTCACAATTTTGAATACTAGGAGAAGCCACGTGGATTCTTCTCTCCATCCTTGTGCATAAAGCAAGCCAGTAAACTGCCCTGGGTGCACAGTGAGGATGGAGAGCTGGATCCACAAAGCTCTACAATACAGGAGAACCAGGCTCAACCAATGCTGGTTGCTTTGGGGAACAGCATTCACCTTGTTCCCAGGTGCTGGAACACTTTCCCAGTGCTCCTAGGCTGAACTGGGATGGCTCACCTGGGTGATGAGATTCTGGAGATGAAGGGAGCAGCACTGTCCTCATGGTGTTAAACGCTGACACGTTCCAGAGCCCATGGTGCCCTCCCTGTGTCCCCTCAGCCAAATTGGTGCTGATGGCTTCTGAGCCTGGTGGTGTCCCCTCAGCAGCTGCAGGGGTGCTGGGAGCCCTCCTGCCTCTCCCTGGGCTGTCTGCAGCGTGGTGATGGCTTCCAGGGTCTGGAAAGCAACAGGGATAGGGTCACGTTCACCTGGAAAAGTTCTTGGGTGGCAGCAGCATCACCTGCTGCTTACCCAGCCCTACCACATGTAACAGAAAGGGTCACAGCTGCATCCCTCACGTTTCCTCTGTTTAACTGCAAGAGGGATTGATGGGAACAGAGGGTTTCTGTCGCCAAAAAATAACGGCATTTTAAATATTGTCCTCATTTGAGCATGGCAAAAGAAACAGATTTTTTTTTAGAGACATTAAAAATGCAGAAGGCAGTAAGGAACTGATGCCAGAACAGTCCACAGCTGGCAGCCTGGGCATGCCAGCTCTACATTCTAGTCCCTAAGCAGAAAAAAAACAAGGAATAAAAAAAAAATTAAAGAAAACCTCTATGCTTATATCTTATTTCAGGTGGGGATATTAAAAGAAAAACTGAAGTGGGGACAGGGTAATCATCACAGCTTTGTCTTGCTGCTCTTGGAAACAGGCCTTGACTTAAGTTCATATTTAAAAGAGCACATTGGTTTGCTTATGACTGAAGATTATGAACAAGCCCAAAAGTAAGTGCTCACTTGCAGGATTTCCATGTAAGGACCTCAGCCACAAATCATCATCACAGCTGGTCAGGTATCCTTAAGCTGAGTTCTTACAGCCTAGACTGGGCTTGCAGTGGGGTTCAGTTCCTGATGGGAGCAGTTGTGGGGACACCCAGGGGTCTCAGCTCTTTGCACAGCTCCTGAGCTCAGTGGATGGGCAGGACCCCCTGGGTGCTGCTGAGTGAAAAACAGCGGCAGCTCCTGAGAATCATCTGCGTTGTAATGTTACAAAACAAAGCCCAGCTTTCCTGAGATTGGATTTCTCCAATCCTGAGATTGGATCCCTCTCCAAAATCTGCATTTCTAGCTGTGGGGCAGCACTGCTTCCTAACCCACTGGCTATGCTCAGTCCCTGGGCTGGGAGCAGTAACAGGAACTCCCACATCCATAAACTCACCAGGGGGATGGCTGTGGGTGAGCAGGTGGGTCACTGTGCCAGCAGATGGGTTCTCTGAGGATCCTGCTGCTGGAGGGGTGACATCCCCATCACTGGCAGGGGGCACAGTGTGCCCTGTGACCCTGCTTGCTGCTGGCACTGCCCGGTGCCTGGCAGGCAGTGATGCCCACTCCCTGCTCCCAGCCAGCATCGTCACCAGCTCCACAGGAGCACCAGCAGTCCTCATCTCTGTGCTTGAGCGTCTCTCCTGATGGCTGCTTTCAATGACTAAAAGGAAAGACAAGAAAAACAACTTAGATCCCATCAGCACTGATGTGCAGGCTCAGCTCACTGCAGTAACACCGAGGCCAGGCTCTGAGCTCATTTACTTACACTAGAGAAAAATTTTGCATAATCAAAACACAGACATGAAATTTATTTTTGGATTTGCACCAGTGGAAACTAGACTGGTCTGAGGGGCCAAATACCAAAATCTACCTTTGTGCAAAAGACTAATTCAATTCAGCACCCTCAGGATTTTTTTGTGTTAGGAGAAATAAATTTTTAAAGGAGCAAAAAGAAAGTCTTAAACAAATAACTGATGGAAATACTTGCAGTGTAGGTCCATGGCAGGAGTGCGATGGTCTCCAGAGCTGACAGCCCAGCAAAGCCCCATTCTGAATGTAAGATGGGAGGGGAGAGGGCCCCACAGCTCTTCCCCTCTCTCCTCTTGGCCCGTGCTTGCTGGACACCTGACCTCAAAGCCCATCACCCACAGAGAGCTGGGAGGGAGTTGCTGAGAACTGCAGGGCACCCAGGATGGTCAGTGTAACCCACCCAGCCACAGTGCAGCACTGGGACACAGGAGATCAGTGCACGGTGTGGGTTACATGGCCCACCCAGTGCCAAAGCACCCCAGGGGGATGAGATATTTTAGCACTTCTAACATTAATGTCTACCACAATATGAGAAACAAGATAAAGAAGAAGATTGTGCATGAGTGGTGGTCCAGGGAATCAGGGTTTTCAGCTTATGGTACCACACAGGGCTGTGAGGATTTCACTGCGTATCAGTTCACACAAAAATCAGCAGCCACTATCTATGTTACAGTCCCAAGGCTTGGCTGGCACTGCAGCCTCAGATGACCTTCAGAGCCCACAACAAGCTCTGAAGTCAAAAGCAAGTCCAAATCTAAATGGGCAAGGTCCCTGTTTTATCCATCTTCCTTACAACAAAATGCAGTCTCTGTCATGTGCATGGCATCCACAGGCAGCAGAAAAAAGCAGTCAGTCTCTGACCAAAAACTCTGATTTTGAAAGTTAAATCTGTTCTGGGCCTCCAAACATTTTCTGTAACAAAATTGTGTGCCCAACACAAACACCTATGGGACACATCTTCTTTGTATTGTATGTCTTCCTTGGAGTTGCTGTGCCTGTCACAACAGAGGTGGCAATTTCAGAAGTGGTGTCCCCTATACAGCTGCAATACCTTCAGTGGGAACTCGCCAAGAAACAGAGGGATAGGTAGGACAGTCTGTATCTCATCCTGGAAATCTAAGCCCCCTGTGGGCCAAGGAGACAGGAGCTGTGGCGGAGCAGAGCCCCCAGGGGTGGCATCACTGGCAGCCTCACAGTGGCTGCAATGCTGAGCAGCCACTGCCACCCAGAGCCTGCTCTGAGCCACCTCCCGTCCCACGGGACAAGCTCCTGGTCCTCACCAGCTGGACAAGGGGATGGGAAGTGGCAGGGGATGCTTGCTGTGTTCATTTCCAAGCCAATACCCAGCCTGTAATTGTAGCCCACAAGTCCATTTATAGCAGCCCCAAAAAACGTGGCTGTGCTGGAGGGCAGTGCACCGAATTTCTCTCCATCCCCCTCTCACTAAAAGCTTTCAGCTGTGCAGCCCATGCTGACTGGAGAGCCTGTGGCCAGCTCTGCTGCACAGAGAGAAGGCAAAGCAGCAGATGCTTAAAGAAACCCTTAGGGTATGAGGATAGACAGAGGGAAATCTGCTTTCCCAGGTTGCCAACTCATTTATCAACAAGGGCAGGCTAAAATATACAGCATCACACTTCAGCAGGCATTTCATTGCCACTTCTTAAAAACTAACCCTGGAAATGCCAGCAAGCAGTGCCTTCAGCTATGCTCCTTGATTGAATGAGACCAGTTCAAAATTAAAACACTGCTGTTTGCTTATCTGGTGGTTGTCTGCCCTGCAAACCCACCTCAGAGTGTTCTCTATCTTCTTTTGGCTCTGCAGAGATGCTGGGAATAAACTGAAGCAAAACCCTTCCCCTTATTGTGGGCGCCAGCAAACCTGGCTTTGAGTGCAGCCAGGCAGTGGAGGGGCTGAATGAGAAGGTATTATTTACACAGGCTTTTTAGAGTCATCTGGCATTTTTAACCCTGCCCTGCAAGGTCCTGGTGCAGGGAGGAAAACCTCATGCTAGCACAGGCTCAGCTCCCCAGATCAGCGGGTGCAGAGCACAAGTTATGCTGGAAAATTCAACCCACAGCATGTAGTAAGGAAACCCCAAAAAAAATGTGTTGTTCAACAAAATAGACATGAAATCTCACATCCATCAAGCCTACCAGAAGTGCAAGATAAAACCACAATATCCTCTTTGATTTGCCAGCAGAAATTAAGACTTCAAAGACGACCCTCCTCTGCAGCGGACAGACCAGATCAAACTTCTTCCCAAAAATTCCCCACGGGACCATCTGGCCTCCCCTGATGCATTAAAGGCTTAAAGCAGAGTGGCCCTTTAGCTGAGGTACTGATCTGTCACCAACAATTTCGTCACATCCTAAGCTGCCAACAGCTTTGCACGGTTTAACTCCACATAACCACAGTCACTGAGAAATATTTGACTTCCAGCACAAAACCCTGCCACCCACTGGATTGGTGTTTTCCTTCCCAGTGAAAACTAGCAGTGATGCTCACCAGACAGGTCGAGGCTCGGAGTTACTTTTTCTTTGCAAGCATAACAAGCCCGAGGCTTGCTGTGAGCCGAGTTACACAGCTCAGCCAGGACAAACAGATCAAGTTCCAGCTGATTTCTCAAGGCTTTGGGCTTGCCCCTGGCAGCCCAGTTGGAGATCTACCTTGTGAGACTCCTGAAAAATCTCTTTTGGGCCAACAATTTTCTGTCTCCATCTGTGACACAGCACAGGCATTGCCCTGTTTCAGAGACAGCTGGCTGCTACCAAGGCAGTGTTTAGGTGATGTTCACAATTCAACCATGGCTAAGCACAACACCAAAAAGCACAATAATGCAAGTTTTCTGCAGTGACTGTGATCACACACAGGGCGGGGAGGGAGGTGGGATGTATCCTGCTGATGCCAGGAGAGCAGCATCCCCACAGGCAGCGTTTGTCAGGAGATTGCAGGCAGCCAAGGCACGTCACGAGCTATCCCAGCCCCACTGCTCCCCTGAACACGGGATTTTTTCCCCTCGAGGGCAAGAAAAATACTTTCTTGACAGGGGAACACAAATTTAAGAAGGAAAGAAGGAAAGCCAAGAGCAGCTGACTGGCTGTCCAGAGCAGCCCTTCACCCGGAGCATCCCTTGTGGGGAGGGTGGGCATTCCCTGGGCAGCATTCCCGCTGGGATGGGGATGGAGCCGCCCATGGAGCCGCTGTTCTGCCGGGGCTGCGGGAGTATTATCCCGTGCCCGCAGCGGCTCCTCCCGAGGACAGGCATCTCTAATTATAAACCCCACATCTGTTAACGTTGCATAATCCCAACATCGTCCGAGGCTCGCGGAGGGGAGAAAAAACTCATCCCGACTTGGAAAACTCCTGGCTGGCTGTAGGGAGAGGTTGGGAAGAAAGGCGGGCAGCTCGGGAGAAGCAGCGGGAGCAGAGCGAGGCCGGGCTCCAGGCTCGGGGCTCTGGGTTTCGGGCTCCGGTCCCTGCCGGGCTTTGGGCCCCGGGTTTCGGGCTCCGGTTCCTGCCGGGCTCTGGGCTCGGGGCTCCGGGCTCCGGTCCCTGCCTGCCGGGCTTCGGGCTCTGGGCTCCGGTCCCTGGGCTCCGGTTCCTGCCGGGGCCGGGCTCTGAGCTGCGGGCTGTGTTTTGAACGAGCGGCTGCTGCTGCGGATGTCGGGATCATGGGTGGAGGCCGGTTAGGAGCCAAGCGAGTTTGTGCGAACAAAAGCTCAAGCCCTAAATCTGGACCGTCCAGGGCTCTCTGGGATTTTCAGTTTCCTTCCTTGTTCTTGCTCTGAAAGAAGAAGTTCAAGGCGGGGGGGAGGGGGGGGGGGGGGTGTGAGCAGGGCGGGATGAAATGGAGGTTAAAAAAAACATTCATACTTGAGATGGGTCAATTGAGAGTAAACACGCTGATAATACAGCTTGGGGAAGGTCCCTCGTGTGTGCTAAGTGCGGGAAAAATGCAAGAGGTTTTCAACCACATGCAGTCAACCCTGTTGTGCTATTTTTTTTTACATCTATACAAGGATTTATTCTGTCTGGATTAAGAGAGGTGGGAAGAGAGGGTGTATGGGGAAGAGAAGAGGTGCAGAAGCCTTACTACAGCCTCTCATCCTTTGTGGGGGCTGGTTTGGATGCAGTATCCCATAGACACACTCCCTTGCTCTGGTGCTTCTTCTCCTCATCCTCTCCCCACTGGCCCCCAGGCAGAGCAGGACAGCAATTCACAGGATCTTCTGTCATTTTAACTGTAATAGGAAGGATTTATGCAGGCACCAGAGGTGCCTAGAGCTTTAATATGTCAGCTCAAGAAAAGCGATGGGGGTTTAATGGCAGCAGCAGCCCCTGCAAGCTCTGAATTCCAAGGGCCACATAGTGCCCACCTGGCCACTTCCAGCCATGGGTGCCCATGGGGCTGGGGACATCACCATCATCCCCAGGCACTCCAGTGCCACACCACAGCACCTGGCTTGCAGTTCTGCTTTGTGGCACAAAACCACTCTGCACTTCCACACCACCTCCCCTCCAGGACCTGTAAAACCGCAGAGGATGCTAAAGGCCATTTTTGCTTCCTACACCTTTTTTCACCATCCCAGAACCTGATGCTCAGAGATGCCTTTAGAAAAAGAAAACAGGATCCACTTACTGCTCTTAAAAGCAGTACCCTAAAGCAAGGAAATAGGTTCTCCAAAATAAAGAGTACACAGAAATCTCTGATCCTTTCCAAAAGCACAGGATATATCCATATGGAGCGCCCACAACTGGGATAAAACCTGCACAGTGCAGGGACAGGATATTGTTCTGCTTATCAAGAGGTTTACAGCCTCTTAGTTTTGATGTCCTAAACATTTCCGTGG